TATTTGTGGGAATGAGGGTTTGGGGCCACAGCCAGCAGTGCTCAGGGTTCACTCCTGGCAGTGCTCAGGAGACCACTCCTGAGCACCACCAGGGTTGTGGCCCCTATAAAACAGGGGATCCAGGAGATGGTGCAGAGGCTAGATAGGTGTGAGAACGGCCAGGATGCTTGGGGATCAAACTAGGGTCAGCCATGTGCAAGACAATCACCTTAATCACTGTATGACTCTCCAGCCCCAGGGTGTGTTTTATTACTTACTCAAAAACAGGAATTCTTAAACTTTTTCCACCAGGAACCCCTTTTTACCTGAAAAACTTTTATGTAACCCCCAGGTATATCAAATAGAAATACAAATTAAAATGTTACTGATAACAAGTCATAAGTTTTTTTAAAGCAAATTTTTGTGACCTCCACATTAAATTAAAAAAAAACCATATGGAGTTGTGAACCACACCTAGGAAGGAAATGGATTTATTTTTTTACCCATAAAGATACAAAAATCACCTTTAAAAACTCTTTAGGTCTGGCAACCACAAAAATCAAGTTAATAAACTTTAAGTTAATCAAAAATTAATCAACTTTATAACTTGATAGTTAAGTGGTAAAATGGTGATGCTGTGTTCAGGTGCTTCTTACATAGCCTTAGCAGTGTATATTAAATCCTTCAGTTAATGGTTAAGAGGGGCCCAGGAGATAGGGGTTGAAGCAATATTATAGCAGTCAGGGAGCTTGCGTTGTATGTAGCAAGCTTTCATCCAAAACACCACGTATAGTCTGTGCCCTGAGTCCCACTAGGAGTGACCCTTGAGGATGAAGTGAGAACTAAGCCCTGAGCACCACCAGGGTGGTGGCCCCTATAAAACAGGGGATCCAGGAGATGGTGCAGAGGCTATATAGGCGTGAAGCCTAGACATCAATCTGTGGTATCACCACATACACCGATTTTGGAAGTTCTGCTATTTGTGTCTGAGATTCCCGATGCTGCCAGTGATTTCCTGTGGAGCTACAGTCAGGTGTGTGCAAGCACCAAACTAAAGAGTATGAGCACTGTTTAAGTATCACTGGTGAGCACTGCAACCAGAATGTGAGCACCACAGCTAAACAAATGTGACCCTCGCAGGGGTATGGTGCCGCCAGCAGGTCAATCTGTTTCATTGAGGCAAGTGCATCAGCAGCCTGATGGTGCCTTCAGACTTCCAGATACCCCAAAATTGCTGCTGTGCCTTTGGCCAGACCCCAAAAACTTGGGGCAAAGTTTACCAAGAAAGTAAACAGCCAAAAGTTAGGTATGTGGGATACACACCCACAAACCACCTCCAGCTCAGCTATATAATTGGAGGCATGGAGTCTCTCATTCCTGATCTAACTGCTTAATGGCCATGATCCCCAAGACTCAGAAACAAATCTCGAAACCCAACGGCTTTTGGCAGAAATGCGTCCAGTCCCTGCAGTAGGTTACAGGCGCTGGGCCACCCCAGAGGGGAAAGGGTGCTATCCCTCTGCCTCCTCCCCCTTGGCAGCCCAGTGGCCGCCATCCTCCAGAGGCCACTGGACAGTCAGATTTGGGCCTGCAGTGATGAGACATGTGGGGCCTCATGGGATAGGGGTGGAGCCAGCCCTTTCCTCCCTGACCCAACGAGACCCCAAGTCGCTGCCCGCGAACAGCCTCTATGGCTCCTGATCAAGCTGTTTAGTGGCCATGATCCCAGAGACTCAGAAACAAATCTCAGAACCCAGCGACTTTTGGCAGAAATGTGTCTGGACCACACAGTAAGTTACTGTTGCCAGGCCACCCCAGGGGGGAAAGGGTGCTGTCCCTCCACCTGCTCCCCCTTGGCAGTTCAGTAGACACCATCCTCCAGAGGCCATCAGACAGTCAGGTTTGGGCCCTCGGTGATGAGACACGCGGGGTCTCATGGGATGGGGGTGGAGCCGACCCTTTCCTCCCCATCCCAATGAGACCCCAAGTTGCCGCCCACAAATGGCCTTTCTGGCTCCTGATCAAGCTGCTTAACGACCATGATCCAAGAGACTCAGGAACAAATCTTGGAACCTAGCAGTTTTGGGCAGAAATCCCTCCAGACTTAATTGCTAAAATTTCGGAATTTCAAACTTGCGCAGCCACTACTGCAGCCATGCGACATCTTGTGTTATTCTTAACCAGCAATAGAAAACAAATTGTCTACTGTTGCCTTTTCAGCAGATCTGAGTGTTGGGGTAAAATTCCAAATAATAATGGTGGGTCTGGTGTCAAAATATTGAATGTAATCAAAGTAGAGAGAGCAATGTGGAAATCATCTGCCCCACAGGTAGGTGGAGGGTGTGGGATGGGGGTATACTGTGGTTTTTGAGGGTGGAGAATTGGTACTGGTGAAGGTATGGGTGTTTCATTGTATGATCAAGACTTAAACCCGAAAGCTTTGTAACTGCTTTCATGGTGATTCAATAAATAAAATTATAAAAAATTAAAGGAAAAAAAAGTAAGGTGGAGTTCATGACCAGTTCAATCAGCTAATCAGTGGCTGAATAAATAGCCTACATAAAAAAAAAAAAATGTGACCCTCTGTGAGCATGTGTGCAAGCACCTAAGCTTGATGTTCAAATGTTTAAAGCACCACAACCAAGTGTGCACGTGTCCACCTCTACTCCAGTCATGGAAACATCAAAGCGGGGTTCAAAAGAATGAGAAATTTGGTGAGAACTGTTTGTGGATGCAGGGGTAGGCTTTTATTATTGAATCACTGTGAGATAGAGTTACAAAGTTATCATGGTCGGGTTTCAGTCATGCAGTGTTCCAATATCCATGGCTTCACCAGTGTATATTTCCCACCACCAGTGCCCAGTTTTTCTCTTCCCACCCTCCCCCAGCCTGTCTTTGTGGCAGGTTCTCTCTCTCTCTCTCTCTCTCTCTCTCTCTCTCTCTCTCTCTCTCTCTCTCTCTCTTTCTCTCTCTCTCCCCCTTTTGGGGCATTGTGGTTTGCCATACAGGTAGTAAGAGGTTATCACATTTGTTCCTTTACCTGTTTCAGCACGCAGCTCTTCTCCAGAGTGATTATGTTCAGCTATCTTTTCATGATGGACCCTTCTCTATCCCAGGGAAAGGCTTTTAAACTTGATCTATTTCAGCCTTTAATCCTTATGATTAACACTTTTAGGCACATTCATTCTCTCTGTCTCCCCCCCCACCCCACCCCCTCTATCTATCTCTTTCTTTCTGTCTCTCCCCCTCCACCCCCCACACCCAACTCTGTCTCTGTCTGCCTGTGTCTGTCTGTCTCTGTCCCTCTCTCAGAGCTGGTATTTTGGGAGAAAGTGGTATTTAATCACTACAATTATACACGTCATCTTAATAAAATAAACATTTTTAATTTACAGCAGATTAAAAAAAAATTCCTGGAAAGGAGTAACAGGATCAGAGACCCTGCATCTGAACACCCTCACCTACAAGCTTTTCCACGAGGAGGAAAATGACCCTTTTCCTTTTTCCGACAGCTCGTGGATTCCCAGAACTTTATACACATCACCTTTCCTAAATGTGAGAACCTCGCGACCTCCCCCATGTTCCCCCGATTTGCCTGCGTCTCAGGAATGGAAGGATTGTGCCAGCACCGGGAATGAGTGAGCAGGGGGGGTTTAAAAGCAGCAAGGGTTTAAAAGCACCCGGGTCCCGGAGTGCTGTGGGCGGCAGCGGGGGCAGCTGACACCAGGGGGTAGCATCCTCGCACTCTCCCAGCCCCCGGGACTAATCTCAAGCAATTCCAGGCTCCACAAAGCACTCAGGGAAAAGGACTCCAGATCCGTACTTTTGGCTTTGTTGGTTTGAAGACGATCCTTGACGATCCTTGACGTGGTCGGTTGTGTTTTGACTCTATGGAGCAGAGGAATCCCCACTCCGACTGCCCAAGGATGAACATTCTCTCCCCCCTTTTCCAGATCCAGACGCTCCCCTCCTCCGCAACAACCCTCTGTAATAGCTGCCCGGGGCGGCGGCTGCACCCCACGACTCCCGACATTCTCCAAAAGTCGCCCCCTCGCTTCACGTCCCATTCGCGGTCCCCTTTGGAGATTGCCGGTCCGTTCTCCCCTCCGTTGCCCACCCTTTGGGAGGGTCCCCGCACCCGGGCAAACCCTGCCGGCGGCAGCGCTTGCTTGGAGGGTCCAGGCATATGTCCGCTGAGGCTGAGCTTCTCCTGGACCTCCTGGGACACCCGCGCCCGGCCCTCCTTTCCCATTCAGGAACGGTGGAGGATAGCCCAGAACTTTCCGAACTTGGCGAACCCCGCTTTGTCTGCAGCTCCCCGAGCCCTCCTCCCAGCACGGAGGAAGGGTCGGCCTCCACCCCCGCCCCCCGCATCCAGTGGGGTCCTCCCTCGGCCGGCCGAGAAGGGAGCCTTAGGGGCAGGGGAGGGGAAGGGGAGCCCCGCAAGAAAACGGCAGACGCCCTCCCCGGGAGCCCCGACTTGAGCCACCGAGCCACCGTGCCCACCCCCTACCCAAGCCCTCGCTGCTCCCGAATTCCCCCGTCCCGCCCCCGCCCTCCCGGGGCACACAGAGGAGCCCATTGTGGGATCCCGAAGGCTCGAGGCCCGAGGAAGACACGAGGGGTGGGAGGGTCGAGCAGCCCTAATTTTCCAGCCCTCCACTACACCCCGGGCGGGGCAGGGGCGGGATGAGGTGGGGCTGGGGGCTTCTTCTCCCGAGCCCCAGGTCCTGCCTAAGTCGCCCAACTGCAGTGAGGAGAGGTTCCCAGCTGAGTGGAAGACGGGACCCTCGTCCTGGGCTGGAGACCCCAGCCTCGGGGGTGGGGGGAGGAGGAGGGTCTCCCTGGCAGGGCCGGACCTGAGTCCGCCGGGAGCGCGCCGGAGAGGGGCACCCTCCGGGGCGGGGCGGCGGCTCCGAGTCCCGGGGCGCCGTCGAGGGGCCGCGCCGAGGCTGCGTGCGGGCGCGGGCGTCCCGGCGGGGGGTCGGGCGGCGCGGCGGAGGCGGGCGGCGGAGGGCGGGGCGGGGCGGGGAGGGGCGGCCGTCTCGGCCCTCCCTGGCGGGGCCCCGCGGCCTGGGCGCCCGAGCGGGCCGAGCCGCCACCGCGGCTGGAGCTGTCCCCTCGCCAGAGCCGGCGCGGCGCGAGCGGCGGGAGGGAGGCGCGCCCCGCCCCGCCAGCCCGTCCGAGCGGCGGACGCGGCCCCCGCCGAGCCATGGTGAGTCCCGCTCGGCCCCGCGGCCCCTCTGCCTCCGCGCTGCCCACTCCCGGCTGCGCCTGCCGCGGGCTGTTGGGGCGCTCCCGGGACTCGCTGCCTCCCCTCCCCCTCTTCTTTTCTTCGCTCGTCCGCCTGTCCGCCCCGCGCTCTGCCTCTGTCCACCCGGGTCCGGCCCTCTCCCTTTCTTCCTCCTCCCCGCGCCCCCTCCCCCAGTCCCCTACGGTCTCCCGAATGCACACGCACCACCCCCCTGCGCTCCGCCGTCCCGACCTGTGCCTTCCTTTGCAGGGTCTCCCCCCCACCCCACCTCCCCGCCCCGCGGCCCCAGATCCTTGCCCGAGGGGGACCCCTGCGGGTGGGTCCGGCGGCGGCGTTGGCGGCGGCCTCGGGGTCATGAGAACTGACCTGCCTGGAACCACCATTTTCCAACCCCAGTCCCCAGCCCGGTGCGCCGGGTCCACCCATCCGGCCCTGGGGGACCGGCCACAGCTGTGGCTGGGTTGCAGCCAGGGACATGGCCACAGAGGGAAATTCCCGCGGAGAAAAGAGAGGCTGCTTCAGGAGCGGGGACAGCGAGAGGCCAGGAGGGGTCACAGTGCCAGGGGGCGTGACGCCGCCAGAGCAGACGAGAGATTTGGGGTGTGGGAGGTGGAATCCCTCGATGCAATCCCCCCCCCCCCCCATCTTACGGTGTGGGGAGCAGAAGCTCGGCCTCAGAGCACCCTCGCTGCACCGGAGCGGGAGCAGGGGCGGGAGCTGTGTGCAGGGGACCCGGGGGACCCGGGGCGCAGGAAAGCAGGAGGGCACTGCAGAGGGGGAAGCCCCTGCCGGCCCGCGGGGACCCGGGGCTGGGAACTTGCATCCCAGAACTACTCTCCGAAGAACCGCGGCGGGACCGGCCCGCGACTTACTGCAGAGAGTGGAGGAGGGGGAGAGGCCCTGCCAGGGGGCGCTGGTGCAGGGACGGGGGAGGAGGAGCCCCGCCGGGCTGCCCCCTCTGCAGAGGGAAGGCCACCCCCCGCCCTGGCAGAGAGGCTGGAACGAGAAGAAAGAGGAACCCGGCCAGGGAGAGCTGACTCAGTCGCTCTTGGGCCGCTCTTGGGTCGGGTCTCCCAGCCCGCGCCTGTCGCCTCCCACCCCAGACCCCTCCTCCCCGCCTGCCGCGGCCGTTTCCTGTGGCTGCGCCTCGGCTCTGCCATGAGCTCACCACCCCTAATGGGTTGCAGCTGCCTCGCCGCTCCAGCTCGGGCTCCCCCTTCCAGGCCTCCGAGCGGACGGCCCCCTCGGCCTGCCCCCGCCCCCCGCGCCCCTCTCCGCGAGCCCCCCCACCCACGCTCGCCTCGTCCCCGGAACACTGGGGGGTCTGTCTCCTCGCCCACACACCTTGGGGCCGGGGCTCCAAGCTGACGCACTGAAGGGCGGTCTCTGGAGTGGCTGCCCTCGCCACTCCGGCCTCGGGGATAGGCCCGCGCTGCGGGCTGGAGGGGCTCAAAGTTAAACATGCAAGTTTTGTCTTCAGGGCAAAGAAGGGAGCTCTGGGGGAGGAGGGTGCGCGGAGGGGGTGGGGGGAAGCTGGGGATAATGGATAAACAGGGCAGTCCGCAGCCCCTTGCCCATGCGGGGCCAAGATGTCTGATAAAAGGAACTTCAAAGCGGTCTTGAAAGGGAAATCAGTTGGTTAAGCAGTAGCCCGAGGGGTGGTTTCCAGGGGCGGGGATGGAGAAAGCATCCCATTGATTCTGGTTTGGAGGCTGCCGGAAGCCCTACTGGGTTTGCTCTGACTGTGGCTTCCAGGTGGAGGCCCACAAGTTCTGAATCTGCAAACACTTACGTGCAGGCCTCACTTTTCCCCTTTTCTGCACGTTCCTTCGGTGACTTTATTTTTTCATCTGCCCCCACCCAGTGCTTTGTAACTCAATCCCACATGTTCTGGGAAAGGGTTGGCCGTGATTCTGGAAGAGAGGGGGATGGGAAGTGTCATCAGGTCCGTCCTTTACTCTTTCCCACTTAAAGTCATCTCCAGCACAGGCTTGTTTCCGGTCCAGGGGGCCGATGCTGAAGGCCTTCGGCCGTTAGGTGGAATTTGCAGCATGGCTTTCTGCAAACCTGCATGCCCTTCCTCAGCCTGCCTCTTCTGCAGGTCTCCTGCTGCGTGACCCAGCAGTGTGTCCCAAGCAGGGCCTGTGCAATAGTCCTAATTCAACCTTGATCAGAGACTGGCACCCTCAAGTTCCCCCCTGGGTCTCAGAGCTCAAGGAGGACATGCAGGGCCACTGCGCTGACCCAGCCCAGCCTTACTGAGCCCATTCAGTTGCTTCCCCAAGTGCCCTCCCTTGTGCCACCACACTGGCCTTGGAGGAACACAGGCGGCCCCTTAGCAGTCTGCTCCCCAGGAGCCTCCCTGGCATGATGTCCAGGGACCCTGAAGTCTGTTCTCATCCCTGCAGGAGCCGGAGCCAGTGGAGGACTGTGTGCAGAGCACGCTTGCTGCGCTCTACCCGCCCTTTGAGGCCACAGCGCCCACTCTGCTGGGCCAGGTGTTCCAGGTGGTAGAGAGGACCTATCGGGAGGATGCATTGAGGTACACGCTGGATTTTTTGGTGCCTGCCAAGCACCTGCTTGCCAAGGTCCAGCAGGAAGCCTGTGTGAGTAGCCTGTTTTTCCTCCCCTAAGATCCTTTACCTCCCATCCTTCTCCGTCCCCTTCCCTGGAGCACCTGCCTCTCCTGTCATGGATCCCCCCAGCCCCCTTAAGAGGCACTTACCACTCATACACACTCAGCTCCCGCCTCTACCACCAACACCACCAATTCACCTCTGATATCAACTCCCAAACACCCCAACCCTCCAAATCTAATTCCCCATATACCCATTTCTCCAGTGCCTAACTCCCCCAGAACCTAACTCAACAAAGACCCTGGCACCCACAGAAATAAAGGCCTCCTAAGAGGCTGAACAGATTCCTCCAAGACAATGGCATCTGCTGACCATGTCTTTGTAATGACTCACTTCTTCCCTGCCCACACTTGGGACGAGCTTTCTAGAGAAGCTTCTTAACCACCAGAAAACAAAACGAGTTATCCCAACCCTTTCCTCTGTAACCTCCCTCTTCTGAGATGTCCCCCTCCTGCTATTCGGAACCTCATCATGCCTTGGGCTGTCCCCTTCGAACCGTCAGCCTAAGCGCCGCTCCTCTTCTCTCCCCAGGCCCAGTATAGCGGTTTCCTCTTCTTCCACGAGGGCTGGCCGCTCTGCCTGCACGAGCAGGTGGTGGTGCAGCTCGCAGCCCTGCCCTGGCAGCTGCTCCGCCCAGGAGACTTCTACCTGCAAGTGGTGCCCTCGGCTGCCCAGGCACCCCGCCTGGCACTCAAGTGCCTGGCCCCAGGGGGTGGCCGTGTGCAGGAGCTGCCGGTGCCCCATGAAGCCTGTTCTTATCTGTTCACACCTGAGTGGCTGCAAGGCATCAATAAGGACCGGCCCACAGGTCGCCTCAGTACCTGCCTCCTGTCTGCACCTTCGGGCATTCAGCGGCTGCCCTGGGCTGAGCTCATCTGCCCCCGATTCGTGCACAAAGGGGGCCTCATGGTGGGACATCGGCCAAGCACCTTGCCCCCGGAACTGCCCTCTGGACCCCCAGGGCTCCCCAGCCCTCCCCTGGCTGAGGAGGCCCTGGGCACACGGAGCCCTGGCGATGGGCACAATGCCCCTGCCGAAGGACCTGAGGGCGAGTATGTGGAACTACTGGAGGTGACCCTGCCTGTGAGGGGGAGTCCCCCAGATGCAGAGGGCTCCTCAGGCCTCTCCAGGACCCGAACGGTGCCCACCCGCAAGGGTGCTGGAGGGAAGGGCCGCCACCGGAGACACCGCGCCTTGGTGAACCAGAAGGGGCAGGGGCCTCGCGACCAGGATGGGGCCCGCCCACCAGGCGAGGGCAGCAGCACTGGTGCCTCCCCAGGGTCTCCCCCAGGAGCTGAGGCGCTCCCCGAGGCTGCGGCCCCCGAGGTGGCCGAGCTCCCTGCAGAGGCACTAGGGGACACCTCGGAATCCTGCCTTCTGAGGCCGGGCGAGATTGGGGGAACAGCCCAGGGGGCTGAAGGACCTCCCGGCACTCCTCGACGGACAGGCAAAGGAAACAGGAGGAAGAAGCGAGCCCCAGGGAGAGGAGCTGCAGGGAGAGGAGGTGACAGTGCCCCCCTGAGCCCTGGGGACAAGGAAGAAACGGGTCCTCCCGAAGCCCCCGGCAGCCTGCTGAAGGAGGAGCCCGAGGACTCTGGGAAGCCAGAGACTGAGCCCAAGGAGGAGCTCGGACCCGCAGATGACAAAGAACTTCAGGCCCCAGAACCCTGCGGGCCTGGTAGAGAGGGGACTCCGGAGAGCGAGCAAGAGGCCCCGAGCCCAGAGCATGTGGCTGGTGAGAACTGAGGCCAGTGGGTGAGGGCAGGGGCTAGGAGAGGGGCCAGGAGGGTTGCTGGGATCAGAACAGCTGAACCCGCCCTCACTTGAGCCCACAGTTCTGCCTGTGTCTGTGCAGGAGCCACAGGGCCCGGAGAGCCCCTGTCCGACTCCCCAGCACCTCCCCTGGAGGCTGGGCAGGAAGTAAACGGGGACAGTGTCCCAGAAGAGGCCCCGCCAGCCTCCGTCTCCGATGACCCTGAAGTCGCTTGGGACTTGATGGCTTCCGGATTCCTGCTGCTGACCGGTCAGTGGGCCTCAGTGGCAGGAGGGAGAGTGGGCTGAGGAGAGAAAAGCCATGGCCTCCCCCAGCCAGGACAGCCTGGCCATTTTGTGTCCTCAGGTGGGGTGGACCAGAGTGGGCGAGCCCTGCTGACCATCACCCCACCGAGCCCCCCTGAGGAGCCCCCGCCCTCCCCAGACATGCTGAGTGCTGCGCTGCGTTACCTCCACTCACTGCTCAGGTAATGCAGCCCCCTGACCTCTGGGACACCTGCTTCCTCAGCCCTCAGATCTTCACATCCTGCTCTTGGTCTTCTTTGACCTCCTTGCTTATAATGTAAGTCACTGCTAGGATTTTACGACATCAAGTCTCTCCCCATCACGTCTCTCCTCATCTCGTGCTGTGAGCCGACTCTGAATTCCCACCCTTCCAGAGTACAGAATTTCTCCCTTTCTCTCTCTCTCTTTCTCTCTTGTTTTTGGGTCACACCTGGCAATGCTCAGGAGTTACTCCTGGCTCTGCACACAGGAATTAATTGTGGTGGAGCTTGGGGAACCACATGGGGTACTAGGGATTGAACCCAGGTCTGGTGCATGCAAGGCAAGTGCCTTACCCACTGTTCTATTTCTCAGTCACTCTCTCTCTTCCTTTCTTTTTGTTTTGTTTTGTTTTTTTGGACCACAACCACTGGCGCTTAGGCCTTATTCCTGGCTCTACACTCAGACTCTGCACCCTGTCTCTGATGGTGCTCAGGGAATAGTATGGGGGGATCAAACCTGGGATGGTCACATGCAAAGCAAGTGCCCTACCTGCTGTACCTTCACTCTGGCCCCCAGAGTATAGAATTTCTAACATTCCAGACCTTGATTCCATGATTTGCTTGTCCTGGGAATAGGCTCCTTAATGCTGGGTCATAAGCTTTGGATACACATCCCAGACTTTGGCCTCTTTGCCTAGTGTTTGGCCTCTCCCAAATGTTCCAGGAACTAACTGCTTCTAAGCACTCTTGACGTAAGAACCAGATCTTACGCCATCTTCTCCCTCCACTCTGTGCCCCTTTTGCACGCACACACACATCCACTACCCTCTTGGCTCTTCTTACCTCCGCAGGCCTGATCTACAGAGACTGGGGCTGTCTGTCCTGCTGGACCTTCGCCAAGCCCCGCCACTGCCTCCAGCTCTCATCCCTGTACTGAGTCAGCTCCAGGTAACCAACCCCCTGAGACGATACTTCCTCTGATCCTGATGCTCCCGCAGTGGCCACCCCCGGCCAAGCAGTCATCCACAGCTGAGTTATTCTCTACCTTAGGATGTGGGGGACCCTCCCCTGATTCAGCGACTGCTGCTTCTTTCTGTGGATGATCCCCCCAAGGAACTCCACGGACTTCAGGTTGGAGCCCCTCATTGCTGCTCAGTCCCCATCCAGAGTGAAGAGGAAAGAAGGGACTAGCTGGGGCCCCTGGTTTGCCCCCAGATTCTTAGTGGCCATCCCAGAAACCCCCTTGCATGTCTCCAGGGTGCTGAGTTGCTGTCAGAGAATGACCTGGAAAGAGTGATCAAGCCAGAGGAGCTACCCTGGAACATGGGAGGTCACCTGGATCCATCTCCCAGCCACTGGGTAGAGACACACCAGGTAAGTGACTCCTCCCAACCCAGCCCAGGAATGGCCTCATGAAGACATTTTGGGAGTCTGAGACATGACCACGGATTGGCAAAAGTGATTTCCTATTCCTCCAGTTCAAGAAGTACTTAATGGCTCCCACAACCTGAGCAAACATCACACGTTCCACAGGTTGTTGGGGAGATCAGGAGTATAGTAAATAAATTCTCAGGGGCTGGAGAGATAGTACAGTGGGTAGGGTGTTTCCCTTTCAAGTAGCCTGCCTAGGTTTGATCCCTGGCACCTCATATGGTCCCTCAAGCCCTCTAGGAGTTATGCCTGAATACTGTTGGGTGTGGCCTCCCCAGAAAACTCTCAGACCAGGAATATGTCTCAGATGACAGAGCACCTGCCTTGATTGGGTTCCAGCCCTCCAAAACCCAACACCACCACCAGGTATGACCCCTAGAATTATAGCAACAACAACAAATAAATTCTTTTTTTTTTAAAGGAACGATTTTTTTTTTGGCTTTTTGGGTCACATCCAGCAATGCTCAGGGGTTACTCGGAATTACTCCTGGGGGTATGCAGGGAACTGTGGGAAGCTGGGGGCTGAACTCTAGTCAACCACATGCAAGACAAACACCCTACCTGCTGTACTATCACTCTGGCCCCAACAAATAAATTCTTATTATATGAAAGAACACATGCTTTGGTGGGGATTGGGAGGAGATAAGTCAGAACCAATTGGTGAGGACTGTGAGATAATAGCACAAGGGCTCTGGACAGAGCTGAAAGGCGGACAGACTGGCTCAGGCTCCAGTGACCTTGGCCAAGTGACTGTAGCCCTCTTTCGGAGATAATGGATTTCTCTTACCTGTTCCTGCATCTGCACACCAGCCTCAGGCTCCCTGCCTGTGGAGTACAGCAGTTATGCCATGATCTCCAGTTCTGTTCCTCAAAGGACACTGAGTGCTCCAGGAAAGAGATGCAGAGCTGATCTGAGCTGAACCCTCTAAGGGAAGGGTCATAGGATGTGATCCTGAGAGGGCAGAGAGGTGAAGTCCCAGTGCAGGTGTGACGACAGAGACACATTTGCTCCACTGCCCATTGTGCTGGGCCCCTGCTTGGGGCTTCCCTGGCATCATCTCTTCACCCCTCACGGAATTCTGTGTCTTACCCTGAAGAAAGTGAGATTCAGGGGGACTGGAGCAATAGCACAGCGGGTAGGGCGTTTGCCTTGCAGCATCCCACAAGGTTCCCCAAGCACAGCCAGGGTGTGATTCCCAGCATCCCACATGGTTTGATTCCCAGCATCCCACATGGTTCCCCAAGCACAGCCAGGGTGATTCCTGAGTGCAGAGCCAGGAGTAACCCCTGCGCATAGGCTGGGTGTGACCCAAAAGCAGAAAAAAAAAGTTAGATTCAGGGAGATTTCTGGACCTACACAAGGTCATACAATTAGTCAGCAACAAAGTCAGAATCCGACCTATCACTGATTCCATAGACGTCTCCGGGGGCTAGAGCAATCATACAGTGGGTAGAACACTTACCTTGCATGCAGCCAACCCAGATTCAATCCCCTGCATCCCATATGGTCCTCTGAGCAACACTAGGAATAATTCCTGAGTGCAGAGCCAGGAGTAACCCCTGAGCATTGCTGGGTATGACTCAAAACAAAAAAGATATAAAGTCTCTGAGGTTAGAGGCCAGAGAGATAGCTTAGGAGTTAAGATAATTGTTTGCAGCTGTGTATGGTTCCCCAGGCCTTACTAAGAGTGGGGCTGGAACAGCAGATAGAGCATTTGCCTTGCATGTGGGCAATCCGCATTCAAAACCCAGCATCCCATATGGTCCCACAAGTACCACCAGAAGTGATGCCTGAATGCAGAACCAGGACTAACCCCTGAGCATCGTCGGGTGTGACCCAAAATCAAACAAAAGAAAAGCCCTACCAGGAGTGATTACTGAGCGCCACTGGGTGTGACCCCCAAACTTTCCCCCGCCCCCCCCAAAAAAATCTCAGGTGCTGCCCTGTTCCACCCCAGGGCTCTGGTTTCCCTTCAAAAGCCTGTCCCCCCTGGACTCTGTCCCCTGTGTGTCCTCAGGAAGTGGCACGGTTGTGCCACCTGTGCCATGGTGTGTTGAGTTCTGTACGGACAGCCATTGAGGAGCTGGAGGGAGCTGCAGAGCCGAAGGGAGAGGTAGGAGGCGAGAGGGGACCAAAGGCATGGGATGGGGTGGGACGAGGCGGGGACACGCCTGGCACCCCCAACTGTCAACTACTCCCTCTCTCTAGGACACGGCTGGAATGCCTGAGCCACTGCAGAAGGTGCTGGAGGATCCCCGGCTGACAGAGCTGCAGAGGGACGGTGGTGCCATCCTGATGAGGCTGCGCTCCACCCACAGCAGCAGGTAGGAAGGCGCTAGATGGGCGGATGTGAGGACTAGACACAGCCGAAGGCTAGCTCAAAGCAGGAACTTCCTAGCTGGGCAAGACATGCTTCTCCCTTTAATCTCTCATCACCCTGCAGAATGCCTAAGTGTTTAAATGGCAAATGATCTGTCGGGTCAGATTTGAAGGATCAGAAGTGTCAAACATCGGGCTGGAGCAATAGTACAGCAGGTAGGGCATTTGCCTTGCAAGCGGCCAACCTGGGTTCAATCCCTGGCATCCCATATGGTCCCCCAAGCACCGCCAGGAGTAACTCTTGAGTGTAGAGCCAAGAGTAACCCCTGAGCATCGCTGGGTGTGACACCCCCCCAAAAAAAAGAAGTCTCAAACATCTTCTCCCAGATTAGTCCACCCAAGGAAGAATCAGGATTTAAATCCAGAGGCATATACTGGGGGCTGGAGACATAGCGGGGGTCAGGCTCTTGTCTTGCATGCAGCCAACCCAGGTTCCATCCCTGGCATCCCATATGGTCCCTTGAGCAAGCCAGGACTGATTCCTCTGTGCACAGCCAGGAGTAAAGCCCTGAGCATCACCAGGTGTGGCCCCCCATAATAAACAAGACAGAAGCATATGCTGAGCCAGGGTGCTGCGTCACCTCTGGAAGGTAGAGTGCACAAAGCAAAATGGAAAGGGCGAGGTAGGGGGCCTGCTCAGGACCGTGGTTCATCCTGTCTGACTCCTTCCCCAGGCTGGAGGGGCCAGGTCCAGCTACACTGTATCAGGAGGTGGATGAAGCCATTCACCAGCTCGTGCGTCTCTCCAACCTGCATGTGCAGCAGCAGGAACGGCAGCAGCGGGTGCGTCGACTCCAGCAGGTGAGTGGGGAGCCCCATGGACCCCTCACTTACCTGACACTCCTGGTGTTCTCCCCTGGGAGCTTTCCCTCTCTCTTCCTCTTCCCCGAGAGAGTCAGTCATGGTCAGGTTGAGGCTCAGCAAGAGGGAGCTAGTGTCTCAGCACCAGGCAAGAGGGAAGCCTCTTTTCCCCCATCTCCCCACTTTTTTGTTGGTTGGTTTTTTTGTTTGTTATTGGTTGGGTACACAGCCAGCCATTCTCGGGGATCCAACGCAGGTTGACCACATGGAAGGCAAGCCCCTGTGCTCTGTTTATCTCTCCAGCGTGTACACCCACATACACGCACACACAATGTATGTTTGATTAGGAATCCGTAGTTGGAACCAGAAAGATAATACAGGGGTTAAGGTACTTGCCTTGCACATAGCCAGCTCCAGTTTGATCTCTGACACCACATATGGTCCCTGAGCACCTCTTGGAGTGATCGCTAAGTACAGAGCCAGAAGCTGTGTGTAGCCCAAACTATCCCTTTCTTGGGGAAAAAATACATAAAAAATAAATAGAGGGGCTAGAGCAATAGCACAGTGGATAGGGTGCTTGCCTTGCACGCGGCTGACCTGGGTATAATATCCAGAACCCCATATGGTCTCCTGAGCCAGCTAAGAGTGATCCCTGAGCACAGAGCCAGGAGTAAACCCTGAGCACAACCAGGTGTGATCCCAAAACTAAAAGAAATAAATGAATAAATAGAGGACCAGAAAGATCGTCTAGCAGGTAAGCATTTGCCTTGCATGCAACTGACCCCACCCAGTTCGATCCCCAGTACTGTATATGATCCCCAGAGCACTGCCTAGTGAGACCCCTGAGCACACCAGGAAGAGCCCTGAGCACTGCAGGTTGAGCCCCGAGCACTGCAGGTTGTGGCCCAAACACCAAAACCAAATAAGCTATCACCCCCAAAAATGAAAGTGAAAGTGGATCTTCTTGAGCTGGTGGGTTCTTGAGAATTGTATGAAAGATTTGCAAGCAAAACTAAAAAGGTTAAGAAGTTAGAGTTCAGGGGTTAAAGAGATAGGTGTGGTCCAAAAACAAAAATAAACAAGGAACTGGAGCAATAGTATAGTGGATAGGGTATTTACCCTGCATGAGATGACCTGGGTTCAGTCCCCGGCATCCCATATGGTCCCTTGAGCCCAACCAAGCAGTCATCCCTGACTAGAGAGCCAAGGAGTAACCCCTGAGTACTGCGGGGTGTGCCCTCACTGCCAAAAAAAGGCCATAAGAAAACAAACAAAAAGTTAGAATTTATTGTATAGTTTAAGTAGATAGGTCTGGGTACCTCCCCAAATGTCCTTTACCCATGTCCGAAATGACCCGGCTGGTTCCACACTGCCCCTATCCCATGAACGACTTCCTTGTCCCGTTCAAAGTCACCGTCTGTCCACATCCAGTGCACAGCGACTTGGACTTGGCCTTGTCCCTGTACTGCTCTCTCTCCATGTTTGCTTTCCTGGTCTGCAACCATGTCCCTGGGCCTTTCCCAGACTGTACCCCAATGGTTCCACGACGTCCTATCCTGGCTTCCCTTAAGTCTCCAGCCTGGGGACTGGAGCGATAGCACAGTGGGTAGGTCTTTGGTCTTACATGCAGCTGACCCGGGTTTGATTCCCAGCGTCGCATATGGTCCCCCGAGCACCGCCAGGAGTAATTCCTGAGTGCATGAGCCAGGAGTAACCCCTGTGCATTGCCAGGTGTGACCGCCCCCCCCCAAAAAAAGTGCTTTCTCACCCCTGCCTGATTCTGCCACTTGTCTAGGTCAGTGAGCTTCATCTCTCCCTGCCTTCTGTCTGGGGAAGCGACCCAACCAGCTTTTGCAGTCTGCCTGAGCGTACAAGAATGAGAGAAGGGCTGAAGGGGCAAGAGAAAAAGGGGTGAGAGGAGAAGGACAAGAAGAAAGAGGGCCAAGAGAAATGGTGTGAGAGAAAAAATTGCAAGAGAAGGGCCAGGCATGGCTGGGGCTTCCTTTTATCTGCTGCCATCTCTCACCCCCATTATCTATTTTGACTGGCTACCTGTTCGATGGTGCGATTTAAAGTGAGCAACTAAATTCACCTGACACACCACCCTTCCCCTCCCACTGTCACAAGGTCCTGGGTTTGCTCCTCAGCGCCAGGCGAAAAACAACAAAGCTCTTCGCTGCATTCCACCCATGCTCCTTAGCCCCTTACACCATTGTTTCCAGAAGGAGGGCAGCAAACACTGCAAAATGCTGTGGGAACCAAGGTCGCTTTGCAGAGAAGGGGCAGGGGACCAGGTTCTCTGAGCCTCGAGTCTTCTAGGCCAGGCTTGAGGACTATTCAGGAGTTTGCACTCCACTTACCAAGCGGGGGAGCAGGAGACTCTGAAACCCGATTGTCCGTCCCTAAGCCCCACGCGTGGGGAGTGAACACTATCAGGGAAGGGTCATCTCGGGGTCAGTGTCAAAGGCGGGACAGGACGCTGTTTCCCGGCATTTCTGTGTGTTTGTTTCCTCCACCTCCTTGTCTCAGGGCCTCTCCTGCTGAGGGCTCTTTTCTCACCCATTGTCCCCCTCACCTCCCCACCCACTCACTCCCAGTTTCAAAAGTATTAGCTGTGCACCACGTTTGGGTTCTCACATGCTCAGCATGCACCCCAGCTCTCTGGGCGTGAGATGTGGACAAGTCTGGAAGCATCTCCAAGTTCCCGAGTCCTCCCCTCTAGAGTAATGAGACGAGTCGGTGACTCGAGCGAAGGTCCTAAGAGGCCCTTTCGGTTGGCTCTGCCTCTGCAGAACAGTCTTCGACTTGGCTTTCTCAGGCTCACCCCCACTGGGAAGGAAAAAATTCTCATCCCTTCTTTGGATATTCCAGAATCAACATGAGCATCCCAAGAGATCCATAACGGGCAGCTGGCACTGAAACATGCACACACATGTGTTCATGCTACACCTGGGCTTCATGAACATGAGATTTCCTGGTGGCCTCAGGGCTCTCCTCTGGCCGCGGGTTTACATCACTTTCCTCCAGTTCTGCACCCTCGACCCTAACCCATGTCCTTCAGGGATTCCCCGCAAACTCGGCTTCCCCTGCCTGGGGATCTTCACCAAACATCCTTTACTGTTTCTCTCCACCTGCACCAGCAACTGTTGTTCACTACAATCGATCGTGATCACTTGACCAATGAGATGAGAACTTGCCCCCATGGTTGTCTGTCTGGGGCAGAGGGCTGAGGGAAAGCCACTCTCAGCTGAGGCCTTTCAAATCTCACTACGGGTGCCTCCTCCACTGTGGCCCTGCCCTCACCCTGCGTCCTTGCCCTCTTGGTCTAGGTGCTGCACTGGCTTTCGGGCCCCGGGGAAGAGCAGCTGGCAAGCTTTGCCGCTCCAGGGGACTCCTTGTCTGCCCTGCAGGAGACGGAACTGCGCTTCCGGGCTTTCAGTGCTGAGGTGCAGGTGAGAAGGGGGAATAGAGCGGGGAGAGACTGGCGGGGACTGAGGAGCAGGTGTGACCTCAGCCTGTCTCCCCCAGGAGCGCCTGGCCCAGGCCCAGGAGGCCCTGGCGTTGGAGGAGAACGCCGCCGCCCAGAAGGTTCTGGATGTCTTTGAACAGCGCCTGGAACAGGCCGAAAGCGGCCTTCATCGGGCACTGAGGCTGCAGCGCTTCTTCCAGCAGGTGTGTGCACAGCCCCTTGGTCCTCTGCCCCCTGCCCACCCCCCACCCCACCCCCAGACTGGCTTTGACCTGCAGGGGCCCACCGGGAAGTTGCTAAAAGCAGGGCCCTCAGGAGCCTTCTCTTTTATGCTACTTAAACCTGTGGAATAACCTAGCCCAGGCAAGGTACAAGACCTGAGCCTCTCTTTAGGGCTGCAGTGAGAATTATAAAGGAAATAATAAGGCGCCACGAGTCTCGAATCTGCCACTGGCCTGTTCTTTCTACTGTCTCGGCCCACTCAGCATGGCATGGTCTGGCAGTGATTCTGATGGGGGGAGGGAGGTTGGTTAGAGGAAGGGGCAATGGGGGAGTTTAGGCCACACCTAGCAGTGCTCAGGGCTTACTCCTGGCCTTTCATTCTGGGATCACTCCAGGCAGGCTCAGGACCATACAAGGTGCCAGGGGTCAAACCTGGGTAGGCTGCATGCAAGGCAAGCACCCTACCTGTTGTCCTATCACCCCAGGACACCCCACCCTGTGTTAGGGTTTTTGCTGCTCTTGTTTTCAGGCAGTGATTCTGGGCATGTGTGCAAAGGTGTTTGGAGGGAACAAGGAGGGTGGTGAGCACTGAGGGAGTCATTGAGCAAGAGAACAGAAGCTGCGGGTGTACCCCAGGCCCTCACTCCTTCTTCTCCCTGTCCCCTACCCTCCTGGCCCTGCAGGCACATGAGTGGGTCGATGAAGGTTCTGCGCGACTTGCCGGAGCGGGCCCAGGCCGGGAGGCCGTGCTGGCAGCCCTGGCCTTGCGCCGGGCCCCGGAGCCCAGCGCTGGCACCTTCCAAGAGATGCGGGCCCTGGCCCTGGACCTGGGCAGCCCCGCGGCCCTGCGCGAGTGGGGGCGCTGCCGGGCCCGCTGCCAGGAGCTGGAGAGGAAGATCCAGCAACAGCTGGGCGAGGAGGCAAGTCCCAGAGGCCACCGACGACGGCGAACGGACAGTGCCAGCAGCGGGGCCTCGCGGGGCCCTCACAGCCCCTCACCCAGCCTCAGCTCCCTGCTGCTCCCCGGCAGCCCCGGGCCGCGGGCAGCCCCCTCCCACTGCTCCCTGGCCCCCTGCGGGGAGGACTATGAGGAGGACGTCACCGAGCTGGCCCCTGAGGTCGAGGGCCGGCCCCCGAGGACCGTGCTGATCCGAGGCCTGGAGGTCACCAGCACAGAGGTGGTGGACAGGACCTGCTCACCCCGAGAGCACGTACTTCTGGGCCGGGCCGACGGGCCCTGGGGAGTGGGCACCCCCCGGATGGAGCGCAAGCGAAGCATCAGGTGAGAGCCGAACCACACCAGTGGCCGAGAGGCAGCCCTGGCTGCCCACTGGGAAAAGGACGCAGCGCTGCCGGGGGCCGGGGATGGGGGTGTCTGGCCAGGCACGAACCTCTTTTCCCCTCCTCCCTGACCCTCCTCCCCGCCACGGTACCCGCAGCGCCCAGCAGCGACTGGTATCCGAGCTCATTGCGTGTGAGCAGGAGTACGTGGCCACCTTGAGCGAGCCCGTGCCCGTCCCTGGGCCTGAGCTGACCCCAGAGCTGCGGGGCTCGTGGGCCGCCGCCCTAAGTGCCCGGGAGAAACTTCGCAGCTTCCATCGGACACACTTCCTGAGGGAACTGCAGGGCTGCGCCAACCACCCGCTGCGCATCGGCGCCTGCTTCCTGCGCCACGTGAGTGAGCCACATGGGGCCCTGCACCCCCCCAGAGCCCCTCCCCACCCTCCACTGCCTTCCCACCACGCTTCACCAGTGCCTGAATGTGTGGTCCATGGGGTGCCAGCACCAGCCAGGGGATAGGAGTGTCCTGGGGTGCAGTGAGGGGTGAGCAGTTTGCTAAAAGGAGGCAGAGTTCCAAGGAGGTGTGAGTGATTTCTGTCTGAAAAGGAGGCGGCTGGCCACTAAGTTGGGAGCCTGTGGCCTGGAGCCAAGCCCTGGGCGGTCCCCACCAGGCGCCTCCGGCTGGCTGTCCTCAGCTGTGCCTTTCTCCTCCTGTCCTGTCCTGTCCCGCCTCCGCCATCTCCAAGGAAGATGTTAGTCCCCAGGCAGACTCGGGTGGATCCCTGGATTGGGCAAACAGGAGCAGGGGGATGGGACACTGGTCTGCGGGCCTGTGGGCCTCACCACAGCACTCTACCTCTTCCCACGGGTGCAGGGGGACCAGTTCAGCCTTTACGCCCAGTACGTAAAGCACCGACACAAACTGGAAAATGGCCTGGCTGCACTTGGACCCCCAACGAAGGTAACCTGCCCCCCAACCCTTAGGAGCAGGCTTGAAGGCCGGGATTCAAATTCAAAGTCCTGACCTCAAATTCCTGGGGAAAAGCTTCCTGGGTGTACCCAGAACATCACTTACCAAGATCCCATCCCAATTGCTGAGGGCCTGCCAGGGAACCTTATTTAGCGCTTGTGAAAGTGACTTCAAAAGCAAAAAAAAAAAAAAAAAAAGCCAGAAAACAATGAGGGATTCATGCTCTTCTGGTCCATTTCTAAGGCAGACCATGATGGCCACTCCCGCAGGCTGCTGCCCAGTTTCAGAGGCCAGGGAGCTTCTGCCTCACCTTTGGGAATTCCCACCTCCCTGGCCTTAAGGAGTTCCTGTCTTCCCATCTTACCCGCAGAATGGTGGAGCCCCACTGGCTCTTGAGCCCTCAGCTTAACTCCATATCTCTCCTGCCCATCACAGGGTAACCCGGAGGGCGGCCCTCACCTGCCCCGCGCCCTCCAGCAACCTCTGGAGCAGCTGGCTCGATATGGAAGGCTCCTGGAGGAGCTCCTTCGGGAAGTCGGACCAGAGCTGAGTTCTGAGCGCCAGGCCCTGGGAGCCGCCATGCAGCTGCTCCGGGAACAGGAGACACGGGGCAGAGACCTGCTGGCCGTGGAGGCCGTGCGTGGGTGCGAGGTGAGGCACCCACCACAGTTCACAAGGACTTGGGCTCTGATTTTTAGTCAGCTGGGACAGCCTTGTGAAGTCATTACGTTTCACTCGGGTATCTTTTCCCATCTGTCAATAAAGTGGTTCTGCCCTGCCCCTCCATCCCTGGTCCCGTGGAGGCACGTGCTTCCCTGCCCAGTGCTTATCTTTCCTCCTGCTTCGCACATTGCTTCCAGCACATTCCTTACTCTCCTCTACGCGATCCCTTTCCAGAGCAGGGAAGAAGTCCCCCTCACCTGGATGCGATTTCTCCCTACTTTTGGGAGATGTGTTCCCCCCCAGCCCCCTCCCCCGCCCCAGGGGGAAGCTGAGAACCCCCCACTGTGCTGGGTGCCTTCCTGGCCACGCTGCTAAGCCAGATGGGTGGTGGGTGGATTCTAGGTGGAGCTTCCCCTTGGCTTCCTAGCTCTGAAAACCAGTGCATGAGCCCCCTCGCCCTCTAAATCCCAGGTTTACTTGTCCTGTCACCCCCCCAGCCACCCCCCAATAAAAGGCCCAGTGCTCCAAAGCCAACTTTCCTTTCCCCTTCCCCAGACAGATCTGAAGGAGCAGGGCCAGCTTCTGCATCGAGACCCCTTCACCGTCATCTGTGGCAGAAAGAAGTGCCTGCGCCACGTCTTTCTCTTCGAGCACCTCCTGCTCTTCAGCAAGCTCAAGGGCCCTGAGGGGGGGTCGGAGACCTACGTTTACAAGCAGGCCTTCAAGGTAGCCTGGCCTGGGTGCAGGGAAGGGGACAGCAGAGACAGGCTCTGCTGGAGGACTGGGGCTGCTGTTGGGGACCGGGGGTTCAGCATCTGCTTCCTCTAGAACAGGCTTTGGCTTGTAAAGGGACCCTCAGCAGAGGGTGTGAGGCTGACTGAAGGAACTTCCTGACATTTGTCTCTCGGTGACATTTTCTTAGTTGTTCCTGTGGGAGTCTCACGGGACAGAGCAGAGAAGGATCTGTCCCGTGACTAGGAAATGACTTTCGAGTTTGGGGTGGTCCTCGAGAGGATGACAAAGAACAACCCCTAGGGAGAGGTCTTGCGTGAGAGAGAAACCGCCATCTGCACGATGGGTCCCTTGTGAGGGCAGGCACGGTGGCCTGATTCTAGGACGGGTCGCGAGACTGTCCACTCCCAGTCCACAAATCCAGTCCAGGAAACAAAGCTTGGATTTGGGATAGCATAGAGGTGGGTTTGAACCCTTCTTTCATAAGCTTATGCTAAGCCCTGGGCAAGTTACTGCACGTCTCTGGGCTCCCCTGTTCTGTAAATTATGGTTGTTATGAAGACTAAATGTAGAGCACTTGGCACAGGGTAGGTGTTGAGCAAACATTTACTGAACATCTACCAGATGCCAGGCTCAGCGTAGCGCGTCTCCATGTGGCACCGTCTAGCCAGGACCCACTCTCCTCCGCTCTTTCTCAGACTGCTGACATGGGGCTCACAGAAAACATCGGGGACAGCGGGCTGTGCTTTGAACTGTGGTTTCGGCGCCGGCGTGCAAGAGAGGCGTACACTCTGCAGGCAGCCTCACCAGACATCAAACTCAAGTGGACCAGCTCGATCGCACAGCTGCTGTGGAGACAGGCAGCCCACAATAAGGGTACTGGAATGAGTTGGGCAGGGCAGGGCAGGGCAGGAGGCAGGGGAGGACTGCTCAGGGTCAAGATGATGGCAAGCGGTTTGCTGGGAGGGGCTGGGGATGGAGGGCAGTAGTGGGTCTCAACTTGCATGTGTGAGGCCGTGGGTTAAATCCCCAGCATTGCCAAATGGAAAAAAAAAAAGTAAAGAGGTTAGCTAGAGGGTAAGGACAGTGCTTGAGCAAACAGGCAGGGGGCAAGGAACAGGAAGGGAAAAAAAGGGCCAGAGGAGTTAAGGCACTTGTCTTGCTTGCAGCAACTCCCAGCACATATGAGCCCCGCCAGGAGTGACCCCGGAGCACAGAGCCAGTAGTCCCTGACAACCACTGGATGTGGCCCAAGAGTCAATAATTATTTTAAATTAAAAACAATAAAGAGGTCAGGCACCGGAGTAATAGTAAGCAGTTAGGGCTCTTGCCACGTACGGGACCAACTTGGGTTCAATCCCCAGCACCCCTTCTGAGTCCCCAAGCACCGCCAGGAGTGACCCAAGTGCAGTGCCAGGAGTAATCTAAGTCCTGAGCACAGCTGGGTGTGGCCCCCAAACAAAGATGTTGGAGGGCTCTGACTTGATGTTGATGTTGCTCAAATAGAAATTAGTCGAAGGTTACCCAAAGGAGTGAAGAACTGACAAATAGCAGGGAGGCAAGCAAAGGAAAGCCGAGTGCTCACGCACTGAGGTTCAGGAACTTTCTGCTCTGTGGCCAAACATGACATCATTTTGCTTTTGTGTGTGTGTGTGTGGGGGGGGGGGGGGTTGTTTCCCTTTTATTGCTGTTTTTCATTATTTTAAATTATTTGAACCTCATTGCACTTACCTGAAAAGAGGAAAGTGAAGAGGGATTAAATAAGGTGATATAGATGGAAACAATAAAATGTAAAGGTGTGTCAAAATTTGAATTTGGGGAGCTGCAGAGATGGCGCAAGGGCTAGTGAGCATGCTGTGTGCAGGAACCCCCGGGGTTTAATTCCCTCCCCCACCCCATGCTCATGGTCCCCAAGCACCACCAGTGCCCCTAGGAGACACACACATACACACACACACACACACACACACACAGGTGAATTTTGCCTGTAGTAAAGGTAAAGGTAAAGGTAAAGGCCCTCCCGTTGATCGTCGATTTGCTCGAGCGGGCCCAGTAACGTCTCCATTGGAGACTTTGTTGTTACTGTGTCTGGCATATCAAATACTCTCGGTAGCTTGCCGGGCTCTCCGAGAGGGGCGGAGGAATCGAACTCGGGTCGGCCATGTTGGCCGCGTGCAAGGCAAACGCCCTACCCGCTGTGCTATCGCTCCAACTGTAGTATGCAAGATAAAGGGAAGGTGAGTTTAAGCAGAGAAGCTGGGCAATTAAGAGTGCCAGATGGTCATGATACAGTAGAGAACAGACTTCTTGTTCGTTTTGGTTTGTTTGGTTTTGGGGCCACACCTGGCTGTGCTCGGGGAGCACCTTTGGCAGGGCCCAGAGGACTATCTGCCATGCCAGAAATTGAACCCAGGTGAGCTGCATGCAAGCCAAGCACCCTACCCACTATACTACTGCTCTGGCCCTAGAGGCGAGACATTCCTAAGGGGGAAGTCAAGGACCACCATATTCATCTGTGCCATGACATTCAACAGGAAAAGCAATGAGAGCAGAGGAGCCAGGGAGAAATGAGAGGAAGGAAGGAGCAGGAGAGCCATGACGTGACGTGTCAGGTCCAGAGCGAAGGAGGGGCAAAGGGGTGCTAACTGGGTTTCTGTTCCCCAGAGCTTCGAGTCCAGCAGATGGTCTCCATGGGCATTGGGAATAAGCCCTTCCTGGACATCAAAGCTCTTGGAGAACGGACACTGAGTGCCCTGCTCACTGGAAGAGGTGAGGGCCAGAGAGCTGAGGGGTGGCTCCCACCCCCAGAAGACCTTAAGCATGAGGGCACAGGGGACACCTGGTGAAAAGTGAGATGTCTATGTCTTCCCAGGAACTGGGGGACTGGGATGCCCTTTGAGAATGAACTGAGGGTCATTTCTGGAACCCAGGAGGGCTTTTCCACACCAGCACCCTACCCCCACCCCCCCCCTTTCTGCAGCCGCCCGCACCCGGGCCTCGGTGGCCGTGTCATCCTTTGAGCATACCGGCCCCTCCCTTCCCGGCCTCTCGCCGGGAGCCTGCTCCCTGCCTGCCCGCGTCGAGGAGGAGGCCTGGGATCTGGACGTCAAGCAAATTTCCCTGGGTGAGGCACCTCTCAAGGGGTGGCTCCCCACGGCTGGGTCTTCGTGGTGATATTGAAGCTGCCTGCTGCTGAGCAATTCCTTTTTCTAGACAAGTAACCCGGTTGCCATGACAACTGTACAGCTTCCCATCGCTAAAAGAGCTTTCCATCTGGTTGCTAGGGCAATGCTTACAGCAGCCTGTTGCTAAGAAGCACTTCCTCTGTACCTCTCTCTAGCTCTCCTTGGGTTTCTATGGAAACTGCCTCAGCTTCCTGTTGTACCCTCCTGGTTCACCACGGCAACCCTTATGGTTTCCTGTCTGCTCCTTCCCTGGTTGCTCTAATGATGCCGCTGACAATTACCTGCCTCTTGGTAGGGGGTTTCTCTTGCAAGTAGATTGCTATGATGACTCACAGCTTCCTGTTGCTATGGAACTTGTTCTTCCCTGATGGAGCAGCTTGGGTGCTTAAGGTAATCTTGAGAGAGCCTATACCGTCTCTCACCCTGGCTTCCCCTTCAGCACCAGAAACACTTGACTCTTCTGGAGATGGGTCCCCAGGACCAAGACACAGCCCCAGCCTGCAAAATCCCCACCCCGGGAGCAGCACTCCCACCCTGACCAGTGGAGGGATCTTAGGGCTGTCTCGCCAGGTAAGTCCCTGCAGCAAGGCTGGGAATGGGGTGATCTCTTGGACCACTTTCTGGGGAGGCTCATCTGATTGATGCATGCGGGAGTGGGAGAATGTGCTCCCAGAGAGGCTATAGGCATCCACCGAAAAGGAATCTTGAATGAGGAGCCCAATGCAGGGATGAACTGGGGGTGGAATGGGGTTGGGGGGTGGGGGGGCAGAGAGAAGAAGAGATGCCAGTAGCCTGGTCTGAACTTGGATCAAATCAGCAAGATTCGGGAACTTTGGGAAAGCAAGAGAGCTGAACTGACAAGCTTGGAAGAAAGAAAGAGATGAGGAATCTAGGGGAGTTTGTTTCTTACCCTTTAAGTTCACTCCTTTCTCTTCCCTCAGTGCCATGCCCGAGCCCTGAGTGACCCCACCACACCTCTGTGAGCGGGGTGAGTGAAAACCCCCTTTCTACCACATTCAGCACACCCCTCCCTGCACCCCCCACGTGGCTGCCTTCCTCCTCCCAGCTGCTGGGAGGGAAGTCATCGGCTCCCTTCTCCCATCCCCCTCTTCTCTCCTGGCTTCTACTGAAGATCCTGGACTTGGCTACAGCCCCATCTCTCAGCACACTTGGGACGGAGACAGCAAAGGGACCCAGAGGATTACAAGAGCAGCGGTTTCTGTCCCGAGGCCTCCTGGAGAGAGGGCTTTCGCATTCCCTGGTGACCATCTCTCGCTCTCCCCAGCCAGAGGCTTCTCCTGCAGGAACCAGTGGCCATTCTCGCTTGCCTTCGGACCTGCCTTCAGTCCTTCCCCATCCTGGCCCTGACCTGCTCCCAGAACAGGACTCCGTGTCAGCCCTGTCCTCCCACAGCTTGTGTTCTCCCCTTCTTCCCACCCCCAACTTTCCCTAAGATTACTCATCTCTGCCAGGCCAATTGTAATTCCTGGTGTCTCCATTCTGCAATGCCAACAGGAAATAGAGCTATGCAAAATATTCTAGGCGGGGTGGGGCAGAGAACTTCAGACTTTATACATGTAATTACTGCTATTGTTGTACTATTGTTATATTAAATGTATTTACTCACACTTTGTCTCTGAAAAGCTAAAACAGTTCACCTAGTTTGAGCTGGAGCTACAAACTAGAGCATTTCCACTCTCCCAACCATTAATTAGAACAAAGCCCATGCTGCAAGGTAACCCTGACTGACCCAAAGCTAGGGCTGAGCTTGGTTGAGTAAGTAGGACTCCTCTTTCTCTGAGCTGTTTAAGACAAACCGAGATCTCAAAGAGTTCAGCAGCTGTTAAAATTGAGAGGGAGGGCCAGTGCTCACTTCGGCAGCACATATACTAAAATTGGAACGATACAGAGAAGATTAGCATGGCCCCTGCACAAGGATGACACGCAAATTCGTGAAGCGTTCCATATTTTTCCATGGCTTGGAGGCCAGCTGTATATGCTAGGGAAAAGGCAGCTCAGATAGAGTAGAGCACCAAATAAAGGGTGCTGGGAGGATCCTCCCAGAATGGGAGATGCATGCTGAAAGTAGACTATAGACTGAACATGATTGCCACTCAATGCCTCTTTTGCAAACCACAACACCCAAAAGGAGAGAGAGAACAGAGGGGAATGCCCTGCCACAGAGGCAGGGTGGGTGGGGGGATACGGGTGGGAGAGATACTGGAATCCGTGGTGGTGGAAAATGGGCACTGGTGGAGGGATGGGTACTCGCTCATTGTATAATTGAAACCCAAGCACAAAAATTTGTAAGTCTACAACTGTACCTCATGGTGTTTCACTAATAAAATTTTTTTAAAAAATGACATCACTTAAAAAAATAAAAAATAATAAAATAAAATTGAGAGGGCCAGGGGCTGGAGCCACAGTACAGCAAGTAAGGCATTTCCTTGCATGTGACCTAACTAGGTCCAATCCCCAGCATCCCATATAGTCCTCAGCACCGCCAGAAGTAACTCCAGTGCAGAGTCAGGAGTTACCCCTGAACATCACCAGGTGTGACCCAAAAAGCATAAAAAAAAATTGAGAGGGCTAGAGAGGCATTACAGGGGATGAGGTGCTTGCCTCACGGGTGGCCAAACACGGTTAGCTTTAAAAAAAAAAAAACCCTGTCACACATGGTTCCCCAAAACACTAACCGCTGAGTGGCCCCTAAGCACAGAATTGGCAGTTCCCCCAAGCACCAAGAGGTGTGGTCCAAAAACCCAACAATAAAATAAAAGGAGGTCCTCAGACCACCTTGCATAATGATCCCCAGGGCTACTTGTTAAATGCTAATTCCAGGGTCAATCCTGGGGCTGCTGAATGGGAAATCTAGACGGGTGAAGACAGGAGCCGCCTTTCTCATCAAGCCCTGCAGATGACTGTTTTCTGGACATTACGGTCCCAGGGGGACAGGACAGAGGCAGACAGACACAGTGCCCTGTGCCTCAAGACACCTGTTTATTGGGGACACAACTCTGCGACAGGGAATGACAGGAATTGTACCAAAAATAGCGAGGTCTACAGGGCCCCTGAAGGGGCTAGAAGGGTACAGTGCCCCCACCCCCACCCATTGTACAAAAATAAACTCTCACGCCTATGGACCAGCAAAGACTGGCAGAAAGGCTCCTCCACGGAGGCACCACCCTCTCTGCCAGCCCTGGGACCCCGTTCTTTGATCCTCACCCCTGCCACTTCTAAGGCACTGTGACTCTCCCCTGGGCCGGGTGGGGTACTGCCCGCCCACCCTTCTATGCCCGCCGCCCCCAACACCTCCGGTCCGCCTGGGGCTGGGATACGGGTCCCACGCTGCCCCCTGCTGGCTGCTCTACCCAACTACCTCTAGCGCTCCCCCGCTCCGGCGGGGTGAGCTCACTAAGCTAAGTGGCCCTAAGCGGGCTCCCTACCGTTCTTGGCCCCCCAGCCCGGCCTCTCCCGACCTCGACAGCCCCGGGCCCTCCTCCCCTTCCTGCGGAGGGCTGGGAGGCGATTCCCCCGAGGGCGCTCGGGCGAAGGGCGAGGCATCGGCCGGGGGCAGACGGCGGCCCCGGGCCCTGCGGCTGTGGTGCACTTGCAGGTGCAGGGCCATGAGCTCGGGGGCGCCAGTGGCGAAGGGGCAGAAGAGGCATCGGTGGAGGGCACCCCCGGGCCCGGCCTCACCTCCCGGGCCCGCCCGCAGGGACAGGTCCAGGGGCTCGGCCTCACCGCCTCGCCCGTTGCGCAGGGTCCTCCCGGGGCTGGCGGGCTTGCGACGGGGCCCCGGCGCGGCGGCGCCGCTCGACGGCGGCCGCGGGCTGGCAGCGCCCTCCACCCAGGTCGCGGGCTGCGGAGGGGCCGACTTGGCGGAGCCCCGCTGGGGTGCGGGGGGCGGCTCCGGGGGTGGCCCGGGCCCTGCCCCGCTCCTCTGCTCCCGGTGGTGGCGCTGCAGGTGATACTTGAGCGAGCCAGACTGGGTGCCAGCGTAGTCGCAGTGTGGACACTTGTAGGGGCGTTCACCTGGGGGGAGAGGGGTGCAACATCGCGATCAAGGCATGGCCCCTCACCTTCGTTCCGCTCGACGGACACCCTGAGGACCAGGGAAGAAATACGGCCTCTGCCGCCCCCTGCGCTTTCATGTAGAAGCACGTGCCTCACCGCCCCCCACTGCCACCCCCTGGAGACAACCACCCCACCCATCCGCCCGGGCTTCCTCTCCTGCCCCCCTCACCTGTGTGCACTCGAAGATGCACTTTGAGGTGATGCGCCGAGCGGAAAGACTTCCCGCAGAAGGGACAATCCTTGCCAGTGGCACCCCGGCCCCCTTCAGACTGCCGCGCCCCTCCAACGAGCAGCCCATTCTCTTCTGCAAGGCACACATTAAGGGCGTCAGAGAGGACCCCTGCGCCCCCCGACACCCTGCTAGGTTCCCCTGTCCCAGAAAGCTTTGTGGGGCTGGAGATGCTGCGAGTGGAGCTGGGGGCGTGTGAGGCGGCAGAGGAGCCCCCGACCTACCCTGCGAGGCGGCGGGTCGCGCCGCGGCCCCCGCGGCAGGCGCCGTGGGCCCGGCCCCCTCTCCTGGCCGTGGATGCATGGACGCCAGAGGGCCCAGCGTGCGACCACCCCGGGCCCAGCTCTCCTCCTCGGCCTCCACCACCTCCTCTTCCTCCTCCGGCTCCTCGGTGCGGTGTCTGCGCGCGCGGGCCGGGAGCGCGGAGGGCAGCGGGCAGTAGCTCCCGAAGCTGCGGCCGGCGCCCGGCTCGGCGCCCTCGCCGTTGGGCCGCGCCTCCCCGGCTCCTCGCAGGCTCAGGTAGCCCAGGAGGCTCGGGGGCTCCCGGCGCTCGGCCGGGCTGGGCGCCGGGGCCAGCAGGAGCGCGGGGCCCAGTGGCTCGTAGGCCAGCAGGCCCAAGTCGGGCGGCGGCGGGGGGGCGCGCGCGGGCCCCGTGGCGGGCGCGGGGGCCCGCAGCGGGCCCAGCTTGCTGGCGTGCACCTTCATGTGGTTCTTCAGGAACCAGGGCTCCTTGAAGCAGCGGCCGCACACGGGGCACGCGTGGTCGAAGGAGGCCTTGTGCTTGCGCATGTGGCCCTTGAGAAACCAGGACTGCGTGAAGCTCTGGCCGCACACTTGACAGCGGAACTCGGGAGGCGCCGGCGGCTCTTCGGGTGCGGCGGGCGCCGGGGCGGGGGTGGCCTCGCGTTCGCGTTCGCGTTCGGGCTCGGGCTCCGGCTCGGGCTCAGGCTCCGGAGCGGATCTGGGTTCCGGCGCGGGTGGCTGTGGCTGTGGCTGTGGCTGTGGCTGTGGCTGCGGCTGCGGCGGCGGCGGCGGCGGCGGCGGCTGGGGTGGCGCCGACGCGGCCGCCAGGGGGCGCTCGGGAGCCCCGTGGGCCGTCAGGCTGTGGTGCAGCAGCTCCTCCTCCTGGCTGGCGCCGAAACTGCACAGGCCGCATTTCCAGGGCCGGTGCAAGATGTGCAGGTGGCGTTCGCGCTCGGCCGCCGTGCGGAACTTGCCCTTGCAGAAGGGGCAGCGGAAGGCGGACGACGACGACGACGACGAGTGGGCCTGGGATCTGGCCAGGCCTTCGGGGACGGAGGGGGACTGCACGCCCCCCGAGCCTCGGGCCCGCCCCATTCGGGCCTCGCGCAGGAGCGCGCGCTCCTCCAGCTCCAGCAACAGGCGCGCGGCGGGGCTGCGGGGCCGCTCGGGCTGGTGCGTGCGCAGGTGCGAGCGCAGCAGGGCGCGCTGCGCTGCCCGGTGGCCGCAGTGCGGGCACTGGAAGGCCTGGGCGCCCGGGTGCGCCCGCAGGTGCAGAGCCAGGATGGAGTTGAAGCGGAAGCGCTTCCCGCACACCGGGCAGGGGAAGCGCCGCTCGCCCGTGCGACTCTCAGACCAGGACACTGCTCCCATTCCCGGAGAGCCGGCGCTCACGCCCGGCCCGTTGGAGTAGCGCTGCAGATCCAGCTCGCCTTCGAAGGCCGGTGGTGATGGCGCTAGGTGGCCGCCCGTGGCGCGGGGACGTGAGCCCTGCGGAGAAAGATGTGAGTAGACCCAAAGGAGGAAAAAAGGGGGAGGGGGCGAGCTGTGGGGAACGCAGGGGCACGCACAGAAGCCACCGAGGGAGGGTGGGTTGGATGGAGCTTGAACGAGAAAATTTAGGAGTGCATCCCCACTCACCTAGGGAAAGTGGAGGGTAAATGGGAATTGGGAGGTCGGGGCCAAGGAATAGGCGACCAGTTCTAATTACGGGGAGAGAGAGACAGAGACAGAGAGAGGAGGAGGAGGAGGAGGAAGAGGGCGGGGAGAGGGGGGAGGGAGAGAGTCTAGGTACAGCCCGAGCTTCACTCACCTCCATGGACCCCCTTCACATTCTTTGGTTCTGGGGAGTGCAGGGAAGAAGAGGAGGAAAAGCTGCTAGTGAAGGCAACAGGTGCTGAAGAGCTAAAGCAAGAGAGACAGATGTGAAGGAAAAGTTGAGCCCTTATTTTCATCAGTGAACACGGTCACCCCTAACCCCAGCCTCGGTTGGCATCCTGTTATCTCAGAAACGGAGCCCTGATCTCGTGCTGCCTCTGGAGAAAAGAGGGGGCTGCTGGTTTCAAGACTGCCGGTCCTTGCTTTGCCAAATTCACAAAGTTCCCAAACAGACCAGCTCTTCCCCCTCCACCCCCAATTGTTGTTTTCAAGGCCTGTTGAGGAACCGGCACC